TTCTAAAATCTGGGGGGCTTTCCTACAACATTAATTTTATGTATTGTAATAAATAATTTTAGTACCCAATCCTGTAGCCTGCAAGGGGGCTCTTGTGCCCTTGTTGCCAAGAGATTCATGGGGCCAAAGTAACAAATAGTTTCAGCATACTGCTTTGTAACCTCGGTCCTACAAAAAACATACAGGATCCTGCTAAAGGATTTCACCAGTCAGAAACACCCAGTGTGAACTGGCCTGGTGGACCAGGACCAAACACCTTTATGCATATGTGAAATGCTAAGAAGTTCGTTAAATTCACTTGCACGCAAGTGTTTGCATATGTACTATAGTCTAAGGTTTTAAGGTACTGAAGGACACCATAAAGTGACAGAAGTGTTATAATTCAAGTGAAACAATATTCATGATATCCTGAATCCTGATTTAAAAGCAAAAGAGGCTGATCAGTGCAGCTTCTCTACAGAACAAACTTTTTTTTCTTCTTTAAATGTATATGAATAAATTTTGATTTAAAAAGTTACAGATTTTGAGATCTGTCTAATACTGACATCATTTTAAATTAAGATGGAGTACAGGGATGACAACACCAGAGAAAATTTCCAAAGCTTTAACTTCTCACCATTCTATCGTCACCTCAAAGTCAATTTTCACCTTTTTCACTGACTGAATTTGTTATCTTACATTTTGCTTTAGGGCTCATGTTCTTGCAGTACGGCAGTACTGGATTACAAGAATACTGACAAGCCTGTTTGCCCAAAATGAACAATGGCTATGCTACAGCAAGTCTGTAATATCTAGAAAGAAAAGGAAAAGCACACCAAAAGCAGCACACTTATTTGTAATTACATGAGGATTGCAATGCTCATAGAACTAGTGAGTTATAGGTAAGGCCAACCTGAAGTTGCTTGTGAAGATTTTTGACACAAGGAGACTTTTTTACACTCTTGATCACACAGCAAAGCCAGTTACAGGGCCTGAAAATTAATTACAGATTGTGGCTTGGTATTTACTATTGATAATAATGCATGTTCATTAACAACTAGCCTGAACTGTTCTTCAAGTATGACAAACCTGCAAGTTAGGAAAAGTTAGGGATGCGCACTACCTCTAACCCACCTTAAATCCCTTCTTACAGCTATAGATGAGGATTCCAGCAAAATTCACAGAACACAAAGTCAATAACAAATAGCACCGTGGATTGGCCAAGCACTAAAATAGCATAGACAGCCTTAATTTTGCCATTTTAAAGATTCTGAATGCTTGACTTGGTAACTGATATAAAACCCTCAACACAACTTTCTGTCACTTAAACAAAGACACCATGCAGCAATATTTCAGCAACCAAATAGACATTTGGGATTTTTTTCTGGGACAGCAAAAATACATTAACAGCTCAGATTCCTGTACATAGGGTTCCATACTTCTAAGCAAGGCCCTAACTTTTGAGCACTTCTTGTCTCAATTCAGTCCCAAATGTACAATCCCTATTCCTCCTGTGCCTTTCTAACTCACAATGGAAGTTGTCCAAGAATTCACTTCTTACTTCTATCTGGAGTAAAAAACAGAAAGGCCCTGCAAAAATCACAATCTACCTGGAGTATATAAATCAAAGAGACTCATAAATAGAGTTCTACAGTGAACTCAAGAACTGTGCAGTAACTTGCATCAGAAATAAGAGACGAGTAACAGGTAAAATCTGAATGGAAAGAGCAAAACACCAAAATTAAGAAGGGGTGCAGGAAAATCTAAGAACAAGTGAAACCCCCAAACAATTATGAGATGTCATCCACCTCTGATTTCCCACCACACCTAGTAACACTAATCCATGGCTCCAGCACTGCATCCTCCTCTTTACTGATTTTCAGACCTGTGTGATAAGGCATAAAAAACCACAATGTAAATCACAAATAAAATTTTAATTAAAAAAAAGTCAAAAGTATTACCTAAAAGTTTAACTAAAAGCTGAAACTGTTCTTCCTTTTACTTATAGAATTTTGTCCCATAAATTCAAGATTGCTTTATCTCCCACTACTTCCTCCTATCTTTTGAAGCCTTATTTTCATTCCTTTTAGTATATTCTTCTACCTCTGTCCTACTGCCCTTGTCACTTTGACACAAGTCACAACCATTCTGCAAGCCCAATTCTCTCCTTCCACTGATATCCTACTGCTGTATCTAAGAGCCCAGGTTTCAACATGACTTAAGAAACATACATGTTAAGTAGCTTAGGAAAATTATGAAATCGGTCTTCAACCCCTCTGTTTTTAAGACCCCCAAAAATACCCAGGATGTGTACAAAAGCCAGTACTGTGTATTCAAGCTATTGTCAATAACCCTACTTCTTTACACATTTGTGGATCTTTGATTAGGAATCCAAACATCACCATTTGAAAATGACAGCTATAACCAAGTGCACAATATAAATAAAATGAGTTTTCTAGTAACCCGTAACTTCTACTACTGAAAACAGCATCCTACAAGAGTTTTGGAAGTGTTGCATACAAAAAACAAACTTCAGTGCTGAGCTGCAGCACATTCTTCTGAAGGATAACACATACCAGTATAATATAAAATTCTGTCAAGGGATTTATCTACCAATTTATTTTCTGGACACAGTCACCTACTGACACAGTCACAGTTCTCTTTCAAACTATGGCTGTCAAAAAAACTCCTCCCATAGAAATCATGACACATTTCACAGATCCTAAATTCTGAGCTTCAGAGGACTCCTTGATATTTGATACCCTCTGGCAAAGCCATGAGAATATTTGTGAACCACACCCAGAGTATCCGAATTAACACCTTGGTGATATGACCAGGGCAGCTCACACCTCTTGCAGATATTGTTACAATTTCTCTACAACCTCACTTAGACATTTCAGTTTTAGGTCACATTCTGAGGTTTTTAACAGAGCTGTAATGGCCAGCAACTGATGGAGGGGAAGGGGAGCAAAGGGGGTATAAACAAAAGATACTGGATAACAAGGTAGAGCCAGTAAGCAATACCACTGCTCAGCGGATAAACCTCACTATTGGTGTCACATATCATGTACCCAAACCACAGCTAACCTAAACCACAATACTACACAGGCAGTACTTCTTTCACAGCTATCATACAACATGGATTAGGAGAGACATATAATGTAATTATAGACATAAATAGGCATCTCTGATGAACTTCAGTGTTTGGAGCCCTTCTTTGTGCTAAATAGTTTGAATAGTGTAATAATACACTATTCAAATACGCCTTCTTCCAAAAGACAACTGGGAAGCAAATTTACACTATAGATGAACAACCACCACTTGAAATTCAGTGGTCAGTTTTATGACATTTTTCTTAATTTAAACAAATCAACGCTCAGGTGATACAATCAACAAAACCAGAACCTGATTACTCGAGAAATGGTTTATTTGGAGGGCCTGCAGAGCCAGACTCAGGACAGGTTACCATTACAAATTAAAAGCTCCGCCTTGGCCAGCATCCTTTGGCTTTTGAAAAAGCAGTCACAGTCCACACGTACCAAGATGCACAGTCAGGACCATGGCAGTTCATCCCTAGCTACAAGTGTCTTAACACCCTGTGTTAGCTGGAACACACCAGTACCTTGTTGGGTTCATTCTGCTAGGGGACTGGCCTTTTAACTATAATGTACCCAGCTGAATGCACCTGCCTCAGCAACAGGGCTCATGGGTATCACACGGGTGTAAGCGCACAGGCTTAAATTCACTATGGGGATACATGGCTGTAACTCTCTGGACAAGAGCTTGATAGCACAAACTTAGGAGGACCTCATAACCTATTAAGCTGCAACATATTAAACTAATGATACTGAACAGAGTGAGGAAATGGGCACTTCGGAAGGGAGAGCCACGCTCTAAGAGTGGGCTAACAAGAACCTCATGAAGTTCAACAAAAACATGTGCAAGGTGTTGCACCTAGGTAAACAGAACCTGAGAATGCAGCATAAGCTGGTGTCTACCCAGCTGGGGAGCAGCTCTGTGGAAAGGGACCCGGGAGTCCCGCTGAACAAGAAACTCAGTATGAGTGAAGTGTGCATCTGCTGCAACACAAGACAACAGGATGCTGGGCTACATGGACAAGAACATCACCAGCAGAGATAAACAAGTCATTATTCCGCTCTCCTCTGTGCCTATCAGGCTATACCTAGAAGACAGATTACTCCTGTGGAAGGTGGTGAGGCACTGGAATAGGTTGCCCAGGGAGGTTGTGAAAGCTCCATCCCTGGCAGTGTTCAAGACCAGGCTGGACGAGGCCTTGGGTGACATGGTTTAGTGTGAGGTGGCCCTGCCCATGGCAGGGCGGTTGGAACTTGATGATCTTAAGGTCTTTTCCAACCCTAACTATGATTCTGTTCCAGTTGGACACATGAGGAAAATTGTTCACAACGACAACAATCAGCCATTGGAATAATCTCCCAAGGGAACTGGTGGACTCCCCAACTTTTAAGGCTCGGCTGGACAGAGTGCTGAGACACCTACTCTAGGTCATGCTTTGCCTAGATCCCTGAGGTCTCTTCCAACCCAGTATTCTCTGTTTCTACGATAACCTTGGTAATTTACCTCTCTGTTACACAGCGCAGGAGGCCTCAGCAGGCCGCGCTCCGCAGGCCCCTCAACGCCCCGGTGCTCAGGCAAGGCCGGGCGCCGCGACCCGCGTCTTGCCACTGGATCTCACGGCCGTGGCTGCGGGGAAAGAGGGAAGGAGGCCGCGGAGGCGAATGCGCTGCTCGGAGAGTGGGCCGAGCCCCTCGGAGTGGCCCTTTCCCGGCGCGGCAGCTCAGCCGGCGCTCCTCGCTGGTTAATGTGAAGGGGACAGCGGAAGGCGACGGGGATTACCCCCACAGAGCCCTGGCAAGGCGGGCTGCGGACAAACGGGGAAAGGACGGAGGAAAAAAAAGAGGGGGCGCGCCGTTGACTGCCGCCGCCGCCGCCCTGCCCAGCTGCACGTGCGAACCGGCAGCGCGTGCGGCAGCCGCCCCTACCTGCAGCACCAGAGCTAGGCTCCCTCCGCGCCTCCATGCCACGGCAACGGCTGCGCACGGCCCTATCGTCCCGGTCCCCACCGCGCAGGCGTGGCACAACCGAGCACCGCCTCTTCTTCCCCTCTCTGGGCAGGCAGGGAGGAGGGAAGGCGTGTGTGCCAGTGGTACTGAGGGGGCGAAGCGTCCAACAGGGATGCAGGCAGGCGTGTTATAGGATGGTTTGTGTTTGAAGGAACCTTAAAGCTCATCCAGTTCTAACCCCCCTCCACGGGCAGGTACACCCTCCACTAGAGCAGGTTGCTCTGAGCGCTGTCCAGCCTGACCTTGAGTACTGCTAGGCATGGGGCAGCCACAGCTTCTCTGGGCAAACTGTGCCAGCACCTCACCAGCCTCCCAGTTGCAAGGGAACTCCTTGGAGAGGATGGTGAGAGTGACGTTGGTGGGTATTTTTGTCAATGAGTTAGTTAGTTTGTGCCCTTTAAAAAGAGCTTCCCATTGTAGTGGCTGGGAAAGAGGCAGGACTACCTTCCTGTGGCAGGTGTTAAGGTAACGGAGGAATTAGGACCCCACCAGAAACTCAGGAAACATACTACTACAGAAGTTTGTGGTAGATTACTCTAAACCTCAGTTACTTACAGCTTACATCTTTTTCTCTCTGTGCAGCTCAGCATCAGAGGTATCAAGTATTTTGTGTTGGAAGGGACCTTAAAGCTCGTCCAGTTCTAACCCCTGCCACGAGGAGGAACACCTTCCACTAGACGAGGTTGCTCCAAACCGCGTGCAGCCTGACCTTGAACACTGTCAGGGATAGGGCAGCCACAGCTTCTCTGGGCACCCTGTGCTAGTGCCTCACCAGCCTCACAGGAAAGAATTTTTTCCTAATGTCTCATCTAAATCCCCCCTCTGTCATCTGAAGCCATTCCCCCTTGTCCTGTCACTAAATGCCCTTGTAAAAGTCCCTCTCCAGATTTTTTGTAGGCCCCTTTTTGCATAATAAATGATAGCAATCAAAAGATCAAACAGATGCTTTTTAGGGGTGTGAATAAGGGGTACTAGCTGCTTGGTTGTTAAAAAGATACAAGTTTTAAGGCAAAATTTGAAGAACAGTGCAGTTGCTGTTGAAAAACTTATACAAATAAGGGGGTCTGTAGAAAGATACACGGTTTTGGACAGTGAGACTGAAAGTTTGATACTGTTAAAAATGGCTAATTTATCTGTGTGTGCTTTTGGTCTGCCTGTGTAAGTAAGCATTGAGACATGTAGTTTAATGGCAAAGGAGTAATTCTGAGTCTGTAGTGTATTTAAGTATATGACTGGTCTTTCTTTAGTTTCTAGTGGCATGAGGCAGGGCTGCCCAGTTCCAGAAACAAAACATGGAATATAAAACCTATGAAAAATTACATACATTTAAAAACGTGAGAACCTGATTCCCCAGAAATTAAGATAAATTAAAAACAAGGAGACATAGCTGGAGCTCAGAACTTATTTTAACCAATGCAGTATGGAATTTTCAAAGAGCCTACCTTTTTTTTCCTGTTGTCAACATTTTAGACTGAGAGTTTGTATGGAAAATTAGTCTAAATATGGAAAATCTTCTAAATATAGCATTTCCTCTGTTATCATGTATTATTACTTCCTGTTCAGGGGAAAGGTAAGCTTTAAACATTACATTCTCAGGGAACTGGCAAGTCCAGGAGTCTTCCCCAGACATCTTGTAAGCCTCTGAAAGATAACAATAAGCAGACTAGAAAAAAAATCAGTATAAGGAATTTTGATCACAATTACCATGTTATTTATTCTTAAATGAATTTTCATTAAAGTTTCAAGTCCACCGTTTCCCCCCAGATTTACATTATTTTCCCAGTATGAAAATTCAGTCTTTTTATTTGAAAATGGATTCTTTCAACTGGAGGCCACACAAAGAACTGACTTCTTCGTGCTGATACGTTCACAGAAATTAGTAGAGCGTGATGTCGGCAAAATCTTCCACACGAATGCTTTTGGCCTTACTGATCTAGAGCACTTCTGTTATAAACAATTAAGTGTCTTTATGCTTTTATTTATTTTTTTTAATCCAAAAATTTTATCTCATTCCTTAGACTAAAACGTGGATATCACCACTGTTTTCTGTAACTTTAACCTATAGCAATTCAGTTAATGTTTATACACTGACTTGAGGATTTTAATTGAACAGGGCTGTGAAAATGCAACCTATCAGTTTATTCGTATTCATTTCATTAGGGGGTTTTGGACTATGCTACTTTTGTGATGGATGTAGGAGAGTGTTTAAAAAATATATATATATATATGTACACATATATATACCAGCCAATCTATGAAGAGCTATTATAGCTATTGAGTGAGAAAATACAAGAAAACATTTGACACAAAAAGCAGGTTTCAGCATGAGAACCAAAAAGGAGAATGTAATGGGCATTTACAACAGTAAGTTAAATTATGGGGTTTTTTAAAGGAAATATTAATTTTTGCTGTTCTTAAGCTCTTGGCTACTTGTGTTTATATATGCCCTGCAGAATCAGAACTGTGAAGATTTATTTAAGATGGAGCCCTTTGAACTTACATGTCAGCTTTATGTGTTAATTTGATGATTTTCAGCGACCTGATACTAGCCTAGATAGTACTTAGCTTTGAAGTAGTATTTCTGTCCTTTGATGGAGACAATAAATACAAAATGAAAAGTCCAACAACTTTGTAAGTAAGTAACTGAAGTTGTAGTCTCCTGCTTCTTCTCCGGTAACAGAACTGAAAACAGGATAACAGAGAAAACAGAAATGGGATTTTTCTGCAGGTCTTATTTGCAGGTCTGGCAAGCAAGAATGACGACTGCGATGACCTGCAAGGGAGTAAGATACATCTTGGGGAAATAAAAAAATACAAAGGAACAAATGGATAGAGCAACTTTGTTCTGGAGATTTAAGGGGCAGAAATAGTTTTTGAGTGAGGGCGAGTGCAGATGAGGGTCTGATAATACTCTCATGCTATTTGAGGCTATTAGAAATTATTAGAAATTGTAAAGTACCAGAGAAAGTGTTATATTGACAGATGAGTAAATGAAACTGTCATTACGTGGAGCAGGAATGACATGTGACAGGAGGGCAGAAACTGCCCACAGAGGGCTTTAAATGAAGACAAATAGCCTGTATCTGACTTGGGAGTCAGTGCAGTGATCGCAGGAGGTTGTACGGTGGCTGACTCAGTGACACAAGAGAACTATTTTTTTTACAGCAGTTTGAATAAATATAAGCAGAATAATTTTCACAACCAGAAAAGAGGTTACTGTGTCAGAGATGTGAAGTGTTGAGGTGCATCAAGAATTTTAGTAGCATAGATAAAAAAGCTAAATGCTTTGTAAATACAAGTTCTGCATGCTTTTATATGCAGTCTAGATGTTATTAATATAGTCAATCTATACAGAGAGGAAAGATAAATTTACTTACTTCATTAATGTGGAAGGGCGTCTTATGTGAACTTTGTCCTGTAGAAGCTTAAAGGTATGGTTTCATTAAAAGAAGTAAAAAAGTGCAAAGTGGGTCTTCCTTAAACATGAGGTCTAGCTTGCATCTTATCCCAGGAGGGAGGTTTGGAATGACATCTGGAATATGTAATTTGTGTTTAGTCAGATTGGTTTTATTATGAATATTGCACAAGTTCTGTAGCCCTGTGAAGTTATGCTGAAACACGTAGGGTTTTTCTGGGTAGCACTTTGATACAAGTTAGTACCATGTGCTTCATCTAACTGGCATACTTATGCAAGAAACTTATTTCACTGGGACATCTCCTGGGGCACTGATGTAAGACCAGTAGTGCTTAATACACACAATTGCTACTTAACAAGGCCTTAATGGGACAGTGACATAGTATCAGTCTCTGGTTATACGGTACTGCTTATGTCATCTTGTCACAGTCTTTTGGAACTTGTCTATTGAAAGAAATGTTCTCCGTAAGTTTAAAATACTGGGTGTTCTAGTGAACTCTAGTGCTCTAGACACAATTTCTGCACTGATTATTACAGTGGGGAAGATCTAGTAACTTCCCCTTGAAGGATGCTTGAGATAATGATTTTTTTATGAAATTAAAAATACAGTCATAACTGGTGTTGGATTGCAGTCATTTCTGTGTTTTTAAAATTCATATTGTCATTTGATTAGTTAATTGCCCATTTGCAAAAGTGTGAACATACTTTCACACTTCAACCAAGACAGTGTTAACAATGAAACTATAGATAGCAGTAGACATTCCACACCTTGTTCTTACCAGATAAAGAGAGCCTACCCTTCTGCACACAGGTGTGATTTGGGTGGTCTTTTTTTAGTTCCAAACAATAGCCTTTGTCACATGAGTTCAAAGGGATATTTTCAAATGGCACCTCTCCAGCATGTGTGCTGTTGACATTTTTGACCTTGCTTCCAGTAAAAGGCTGTGATTCTTTGCTAAGCTTAGCCACTGAAATACAGTCAGTCACCCACAGGTGAGAGATGTGGGGGAGCTTTAAATGAGAATTAACATTTAGAATCAAAGAAAAAATTCCTTCTCAAGGGGCATACTTTGACTTAAGCCTCTGTAAAGTTGTTCACAGCCTTATTTGCAATTTCCAGCTGAGACTTTCACATGACTGAAGACATGTCTTCCAGAAGAGGGGAAAAAATGGCGGAGTTTGCAGTGTCTTTTTGTTGTGCAAGTGGCAATATTTTATGCTTATTCCCCCATATAAAATCAAACCCATCCATATATCTGTTTTCTAAAGGTTTGAGGATCCAAGGTCTTCACAGCAGAATCTGCTCTTGCAGGAAGAGGAAGCAATAGGCATGTTGAAATATTTCTGTGCTGTTCTGTTAATCTGTAATTCTGCTCGTTCTAACAAGTGGATATTAGTAACATGCAGAACTCTGAACCTGCAGCCTGTCAAGTCTCACATAGCTAACATAAGTCTGCAGTATCTTAACAGTGGAAGCACTGGTGTTGTTGCCTCGGCCTCTTTCTTGCTCTGGAAGAACTGCAGCTGGTGTGTCAGTCACTAAGTGACACGTGGCCAGTGGTCTGTCTCTTAATGCTTCACCAGGAATGAAACCTTTC